AAAGGTGAGGTGAAGACACTATTATCCTAAACAGCAGAAAAAAGAAAGATCCTACTCCAGTTTTTAACTGTACGAGTTAATTAAAGGACAACTCCTGCGCAAAATGAACCTTTGGTCTAATAACACATTGGTACCAAGTTGATCATTCTCTGAGATTTGTTTTCATGATAATCGAATGTAAAGAGTTTTATCTCTAAAAACTGTTTAGCGGATACGCTAGTATATAGGGCACAGAGTAATGAAAAATTGTAAATACCACTAACACGGCTCAAAATAGCCCCACATTAACACGATAACATAATGAGGGTCCCTGCATGCAAAACGAAGCATTGAGAGCTTTGTAGGTGTACAGAGCGTTTAATAAGAAGATACTTTATAAAGACAGTTCACTTCGCGTATACGGTCTCGACCAGTCGAACCACGAACACCATTCATACAGTTCAGAAGTTTGCTGAACATCACTAGCACGGCGTTCGTGGTTCTGTTTTCCAAAGATGGCTCCTGCCTGTATACATGAAGTGCACTGTCTTTATAAAGTATCTTCTTCTTAAACGGTCTGTACACTTACAAAGTTCTCAATGCTTCGGTTTACATGTAGGGACCCTCATTATGTTACTGTGTTAGTGTGGGACTATTTTGAATTAGCGATTTTTATTTTTCATTACTCTGTGACCTATATAGCGTTATAAACCGTTTTTAGAGATAAAACTCTGCATTAGATTATCATGAAAACAAATCTCAGAGAACGGTCAACTAGGTACCAATGTGTAATTAGACCAAAAGTTCACTCTGCGCCAGAGTTGTCCTTTAAGGGAAAGAATATTGCGGTGTTTATGGCTTCTTGTGTTAAAAACAAGTTTATTTCCCTGATAAGTTTAAGATCCCTGATCATTTGAAGTGGCACATTATTGAAGGATGGGCAGTTAAAAAGTATATTTTGATAGGACAGAAAACCCACAACCTGCAAGTTAGTTATCTCACATTCAAAGAGGACACCCAATCATACCAAAGGTAATTTGCATATACATAGGTCTTAAAGTCACAGCAGCAAAAACTGCATTTTTAATTCTAGGGTCAGAGAGAGAGTGGAAAATGGTCAAGTAAATAAACAAGGAGAACAGCTTGGAGAAAAAAAAAATGGGTAACACTTTATTTTGATGGTCCCTTTTGAACATCCTGTTCACTATAAGTAACTTTGCAACTACATGTCAACTTACTCTCATTATAATATTAGTAGACTGTCTGCTTAATATCTGCCAACTCTTAATTGTGATGCTCCTCCAACAGACTTTCAACTGACTATCAGTAACTTTGCAACTACATGTCAACTTATTCTATCCTTAACCCTACCAGTCTACTAATACTCTACTAACACTCTAGTGAGAGTTAGTAGAGATGCAGGTGGAACGCTACTTACAGTCATCTGAATGTGTTAAAGGGACCATCCAAATAAAGTGAAACCAAAAAACATTATATGAAGACCTCAGGGGAAAATTATACAACACAATAAAAAAAAGAAAGTAAAAACCAATGACTGGAAACAGAACTTTGTTGATCGATGCATTTAAAACCAACTTCAACAATACATTCACATCTCATACTCACCCATGCTCAGTTCTTTAAACGTCTGCTGATTGGTTAAGATCTTGGTGAGAACGGTGCGCATGGCCCCGCCCATCTTGGTGAGCTCTTCTAAGAACGATATGTGCGGCTCCAACTGCTGCAGAACCTTCTGCAGATCTCGGTCAGTGGCCGACTCTGCAGGCACATGATAAGGTGTTTGTGTGCGCGGCGAAATAAAGCAGCATATGTTAGCCCAGTGGGCACGATTAGCAGGCTCAGCCAGTACAGGACACACACATGGGACTGATATTGTGCAAAGCTGTTGACTAAAGCATTATTCTATTATTGCAGATTATCATATTTGTTTTTGGTATATGCTTCACAATATGTCTAGTCAGTTCAAGAGCTGAGTGTACTGAAACAGCTCCAAACTAAACACTGAAAGTTTGAGTTTTGTGGATTTTATTTCATAGCTTTGTGGCCATGTAGTGCATTCCTATCAATTAAGCGAATAGCCTTTAGCTCACAAACCTTGAGTGTTTGTGAAGCCATTTTATGGGGTCTTTAAATAATTAAAGGGTTAGTTCACCCAAAAATGAAAATTCTGTCAGTATTTACTCACCCTCATGTTGTTCCAACCCTGTAAGACCTTCGTTCATCTTCGGAACACAAATTAAGATATTTAAGATATTAAGATCGCTCCTGCACACTAGTCCATAGGCTTCTTGAGGGACTGGCTCTTGCTGTCCCTGAAAAGTCATTAAAGACATCGTTAAAATAGTCCAAGTGACTACAGGGGCTCAATCTTAAGTTTATCAAACGACGAGAACACTTTTGTGCGCAAAAAAACAACAAAAATAACGACTTTATTTCAACTATTCGTTTATTTCTCCCTCTGCGCGAGTCAGATTACTAGTTTAATAGCGTAAGCTTCTGTTATTGTACGTCACACGCATCACACACACATGACCAGCGTCGGCCAATAGTGAGCCTACGTGTGACGTAGCTTTACGCAATCACACTACGTTAACTGACTACAGGCTCATGGAGAAGGAAGTGAATAGTTGAAATAAAGTCGTTATTTTTGTTGTTTTTTTGCGCACAAAAGTGTTCTCGTCGTTTGATAAACTTAGGATTGAGCCCCTGTAGTCACTTGGACTATTTTAACGATGTCTTTAATGACTTTTCGGAGACAGCAAGAGCCAGTCCCTCAAGAAGCCTACGGACTGTATGCAGGAGCGATCTTAATATCTTAAATATCTTAATTTGTGTTCCGAAGATGAACGAAGGTCTTACGGGGTTGGAACAACATGAGGGTGAGTAAATACTGACAGAATTTTCATTTTTTGGTGAACTAACCCTTTAAGAGCAGCATGGAGGTGCGACGTCCTCACCTGGTTCAGTGTAGCCGTCTCTCAGGTACTGAATGATAGTGATGATAAACCGCGGCAGCACCATCTCAGACATGAGCAGCAGATCCCAAGGGACTGATGGCACATTCTCTCCCGTTTTTAACCGATGCCTACTACAAAACCTGTCGCACAAGAGCGTGTGAATTAGAATTGAACATTTCAGCAGAGAAATTTGCTGTTTACTATACAAAACACAACCTGTGTTCATTGAAGTCAATAAAAATTGACGTTAAGACTTTTTTTTTTGTAAAAGGTCAACAGATTGATGCACTACAAGCAACTACAATATGCAAGTCTTCAAGTCAATCACTAACATCATGGTGGTGCCGAAGGATAAAAGACGGACGTGCTGGAACACAAGTTATATCACCATAGAACAGTGACCACCAACTTTATCAGTAGTCTTGTACATGTAGTATGTTTTCAATTAACTTCCTCTTTAAATATATATATATATATATATATATATATATAAACAGGAGTACAAAGCCATAAAAAAAAAACAATAAGGGCAGAGGTAAATCACATCACTAAGAATCGGTGGGGGACATTATTTTAATTGAGAATGAACAACAAAAATATTTAATGCAAACTTTAAGTTACTTTAAAATTCTTAAATCTATTTCAAAACGTTACTTCAGTATAGAAAGACTTGATGCTTCATGGGGCTCAATGGTAGCAGTGATTATCTTTTCTGTGGAAACAGTGACTCTGATTGGTGGATTTCTGTTCAGAATTGTGGGAAGTGTATTTCTCCAAACAAAAACACAAAAATGGCTATTAAGGTCACATGGAAATGGAAAAATAACAGTTCTTTGATTGTTTTCTTTATATTTTGAAATGCATCCGAAAGCAACAATGAATCGAAAAAGAAAAATCTAAATGAAGACCAAAAACATATTGTAAATAATTTAATTTTTAATATTGTAAATTTAGACTAAAAGTTATTTGTAGCGCAACTACCATCCAATAATCACAATAAACTTTGATATGACGCGAAGTCTCAGCTTTTAAATAGTCAATCTTCTCACAGAATTCAAACAATAAATGTTTTGTTGACACACTGTAGCCCTCTCAGATTAAACAGTAGAACATTTTGAACGTTGATTTTTAAATAAACCTGATTCATTCATTATCAAATAAAAAAAAAATTAAAGTTTTGGAGTTTTCGTGAAAAAAGAAATAACTAAACCAGGCTTGCCTGCTTGAGACTCCCATACAAAAAAAAAAAAACCTGCACTGGCATAACTGTAGTGTTGGTTTAAAAGAAGAAAAAAAAGACTATTGTGATATGGCTTTTTGCAATTATAAAATTGCAAAGGCTGCATTTAAACTAAATAATATGCGCTGCATGTTTCAGAGAGAAGCGCGGCTCACGATGAAACTTGCTATGAGAAGCACTTATCAAAAAGGAGAAGCTTATGGTTTTCCATCAAATAAAAGTTCGATATTTCACTTTTGAAAATGATGAAAACAGGACATAAATATTAGTATTGTAATTTTACAGTTGTACTTATATAAAATACAATTATTTATTGTTCTTAAATACTATTTTTATTTTGCATAAAAATATTAGTTTAGCAATTTTTCTAATTCTGTTTTTATTCAGTATTTTTATTTTTTGTAATAATAATCAATTACCATTATTCTTTTAAAGCCATTCTGATATATAATCACAACATTTTTGCCCAAATTGTACAAACAAGCCTGGCAAATTTGTTTTAATTGCATTTTAATCAGTCATGCAGCATGTACCACGACACTGAATGACTTATTAGCCTTGTCTATCAAGTGTTGTCTCAGCATATGTAATTTCACATATTACTGATAAGATTAAGATAATGAGACTCACATCGTGAACTAAACTTGGCAGTGAACGGGACTAAAAAGGCCATGGATTTCTTCTTTAAATAAGAGGTCAGATTAAGACTAAAATAATACTCCAATAATCTGTTTTATTACACTGTGACCTTTCCAAATCAACACATTTTTGGGCCGTATTACATGTATACATTCTTGTCGTTATCTTAATGACACACACTAATGGTTAAAACTAGTAAAAGCACGTTCCATTCAAATGTTGAGTATAGACGACTGATTAAGTTCAGTGGACAGTCACTAGTATGAATCAAAAAGAGCATGCGAGTAGTGTGATGTCAGCCTCCAGAGCAAAAGCAAAAGTATCTTTTCACAGTAAACATCTACCAATAATAAAACGGCCTCATTCCTGCAGAGCGGAACACTTCACGATAATTACACCCTTTACTGATCAAATACAGTGAATCTTTTGAGCTCCAGCCGACAGCAGTCATTACGCCCAGCCCCATATCTGCACCCCTACACGCTGAACTGTTAAAGTGAGTGAGAGAAGCGAGGAAAGAGCCGTGTCACTGACCCTGTGGGGGAGTTAAAAATAACCCAGACCGTGGCACTCTCTGTAAGGCAGTGATCAGGTGCCACAGCCCAATCCACACTGTTACCCTCCCCTGACAGCCTCAGACTGTATCAAGCAATGCACAGCTGTGCCTAAACCAGGAGAACTGCCTTTACTCAACTTCTGAATGGAACGTACTTTTACTAGTTTTACTAGTTGGTTACCATTAGTGCGCGGCATTAAAATAATGACAAGAATGTGGATGTGTAATACGGCCCAGGAATGTGTTGATTTGGAACGGCCAATAGCGTAACTGTAACAGCAAAAAAATTGTAAATAAAACAGATTATTGGAGTACTATTATACTATTATCTTAGTCTTTCTACTTGAATTTCATGTTTAACTCAATGCGCTACTTGTCATTTCTTTGTGAAATTTGCAAGCAATTTCTGAGAGAAAATTACTTCAAAATAAATATTAGGTTACACTTCATTTCAATAATCCACTTTAGACATTCTATTAACTGTATGTAACTTTGCAACTACCAGTCAATAGAGTATTAGTATTGTCTGAGTAATATCTGTGAACACTTTATAGTGATGATGCCCCCCAACTGATATTCTACTGACAAAAAAATAACTTTGCAATTACGTCAACTCGCTATCTCACGACCAATTCGTACGAGTGATTCAAAAGCGGCTAATTCGTTCTAATTCATACGACCTCACTCGTACGAATTCGTACGATTTGTCTAAACCCACGTGACGGTTATGTTTAGGGGCGGGGTCAGCGATAGGTCATTCGTACGAATTCATACGAATTGGCTAATTCGTAAAATATGTACGATTTAGCAAAATCTTGAGTGAGAATTGTTACGAATCAGCCACCTCGTAAAATTCGTACAAATTCCCGTGAGATCGGGTTGGGTCTACTGACGATCTATGAGTTGGTTGCCATATAGTTGGCAAGTTACTCAATAGAATCTCTAAAAAGGACCATCAAAACAAAGCTCAAGAAAAAAAATCAGAGTATAATCTGGCAATCCCTGTCACATCTTTGACACCCAAACCGTTAGACGATTTGGAACATGCCCAAGTTGCCCAAAATCGCTGCCGTTTGATGCTCCAAAAAGTTTCTGACAAGGAACACCCCTATTATATGATGCAAGGTTCCCGAAATACTGCCGATTCGTTTCAGAACAGCCACGTACAGGTAATGCTGAGACTCAAAACTGCTGCTAATTTGGGAATTTCCTACAGTGCCCCAAAATAATGCTGAACCAAAACACCGTTATAAATATCACGACGAAAATGATGCAGACTATGATGTTTTGATGCTCAATAACTATGAATAGGTAGGCAGCAGCACACTGGCCAAAAATGCTGCTGATTCAGGATGCACCAATCGGTGGAGGCTATGATGGCCCAAAATGCATCTGAGTGCAGATGTGTCAGTGATACAATGCCATAGGTCAGTATTTCCCAATCCTATTCCTAGAGGCACACCAACAGCGCACATTTTGGATGTCTGGATGATTTTGGGCTGTCCTAGACAAAATATGACCATTCTGTTGTCATGGCTCCTAAATGGCGGTCACCGCGACCAAAGATAATTTTCAGACCGTGTCATAAATTTAGCGTGATCACTCACTGTGTGTTTACTGCTATGATCCACGTCTACTGACTAGCCATGAACTAGCGTATTGATCATGTGTACTTGACCATTTGCTTGATTTACATGCCAATTCTGAAACCGCAGGCATTATCTGACCCATACATATCTGGTCTTGGAGTCTCTACTAACAAGCTGATGAGTTGTATCAGTTGTGTTTGATTAGGAAGAGTTTGAAAATGTGCAATGTTGGTGCCTTAAGGAACAAGGTTGGGAAACACTTTCATATGTAGTCAGGTCACTAGCTTTATATGGCACACAAAAACATATAATATTGCTTCTAATCTTGAACGCACTAATGTCCAATTATGCTATCCATGTAGACGGCTGACTAGATTTGAGACATTGACGTCTAATAATATTTCTGACTCAGGATCTGCCAATATGATTCCCAAAAATGTTGTCTAGGTATAGGTAGCTCACTAGGAATGAAACTTTGATGCCCAAAAATCCTGCTTATTCGGGGTACTCCTATGATGGTGACATGCTGCAGAAACAGAACACACCTATAATGTGATCAACAAGCCGTACGAGGTCTACATTTTTTGCTGATTATGACTATAGAAGACAGTTTACAAGGTTTGAGACGATTTCCACCATCAGGGCGAACGGTTCCAGTTGCATTTCCACTGGATGCCCCAAAATTCTCCAGATTCAGACAGAATTCATTTAATTTGTAAGATGATGTGCAAATCAATTTGGCTGCTGATTTTAGACATGCATGCCACATCATTGATGTACTATTATAGCATTTGTTAATACTTTGCATTCCATTTTCATCATCATTTTAGTCATTTTATGTTTATACATATATATTTGTGTTAGGCCTGGTTTCACAGCCACGGCTTAGATTTGGCCTTAGTTTAATTAGGACATTTAAGTAGCAGCTGGTTTTGATTGCGCCTATAATATGATGCTCCTATAACTCGGGATGCACCTAAATTATGATGCCTGGGTATAGGGCACAGCTCACTAGGTTTAATACTATGATGCCCAAAATCCCTGCTTATTCAGAATACTCCTATGATGGCCAACATGCAGCTGAACCAGCACACCAATGAACTCCACTGGGGGAAAAACTAATAAAGACCAGTTAGACAACTTGGATGATCAATATCCAAAAATACTGCAAATTTAAAATTCACCTACAATCTCACGTAATTAAAATGACCCCTCAAATGATGCTGCTGATTTGACACACGTATGTTATAATGCCTAATAATAATAGTATACAGATCGCAATGACACTATGATCCCCAAAAACACTGCTGATTTTGGTTGCGCCTATGTTGTTATGACATCCAAATCTGACTCGGGATGCGCCCGTGCTATGACACCCCTATAAAGCTGTCCGTGTGGTCAGACTCAGCTCACTGTCAAGGGTTTGAGACACAGCCCCTGTCAGTCAGTGAGATGTCCGCTCAGAGTGGCTACTGACCCGCTCTCTTTCATCACGTTCCCGTCCCCGCAGTCACAGGCCCCGCCGGCCTGACTCCGGAACATGTTAAAATCATGGCCCGTGTGATCGCTGTTATTGAAGCACTCCGCACACAGCGACATGCACGGAGAGATGCCGCAAGTCCGGCAACGGTAGGCCACGAAGTTGGCTGTCCACACCAGCCCGCAGAGGGTGGCGTTATCGTAGGATCGGACGGTCCGGCAGAACTCGTCGAAAGCGTCCCCTCCGGCCAGCAGCCATTTACACCAGTCCAGCCCCTCCGGGTCAGGGTCCGAGCCGCGCTGCGGGTCCAGCACGGTGTCCAGCAGCTCCCGCAGCTGCCGCAGCCCCGAGCTGTTGTCGGCCCGCTGGAGGTCTGCCTTCAGGTGGGCGGCGGTGGATCTCTTATCCCGGCGCAGCAGCAAAGCCGCCATCATGCGCTCCGGGTTTGTTGTGCTCACTTTATTTTGGTTGTCTTGTTGCTGTGTTCGCGAGGCATCTCGCGAGATCGTTACTAAGCGGCGCTCTGGTGTGGCAATAAACAGTGTGCTAAAGGGGGCGGAGCTTAATTTACCTCTAAATATTTTTTCTTCTTTTTTTTCTGTGTGTTTTTTTTAATGAAGACAGAACAAGTAACAGGCATAGCATAGCATGATAATTCATGATAATTAAAGGAGGAATTTCGAATATATATTTAGAGACATCGAGAGGGATGAAAAGTGCCAAAAGCAGTATTTGTTTTGTGTAGTTTGAAAAACTTCCTACTCCCCAACTTTTCTCTCTTTTTTTCTCTCTTTCTCTGTGTATTGTGATGTGATGATTGATTGTAAGCTCAGTCTTATTTGTATAACTTATTTTTTTTTTATTAATGTCTTTCTGATGATTAAAAATAATAATAAATAAATAAATAAATAAAAACACTTAATGATTTATTTTTATTTATTTATTATTTTTCATTCGTTATTTTTAGCAGTTTCAGTGGATGAGTTAACGTTTGCTGCTATGCGGACCCTGATTGCAGTCAGTCGTGATTAGTGGAATTATTTTAGCGCGATTAGGCTACTGTATCAGATTTTAATTTGAACCACTGTGACTATATTAAATAAAAACATTTAGGCTAAATGTCTCAAATTAAAATATCCTGACATTCGAGTGCCTTTCAAAGGAGGAATCCGTTTGTTGAGCCGACAAGCGCCCTCTAGCGGAATTTAGTATGTCAGCAAATTAATGTTTGGTTTGGTGTTTCTCGCGAGAATAGCTCAGTTGTGTATTTCGCGTATTTCTCGCGATGCGTTATCGTTTGATTTACAGTGGGCTGGACAGGTGGCAGGGGGAGATGTTGCTTATCTGACAGAAGCATCTTGGTTACTGAGACTATTTTGGACGAATATCTTGATATATTATTGCTCAACTTCACAAGTAAACATGTGTTTATGACTCAACAAAAATACGTTGTGTTTCTCTAATAGCCTACATAAGACCTCGTCAGACTGCAGAAACCTTACCAATTTGACAGAGACACACAAACACTGAGAGAAAAAAAAACTTCAGCAATAACTCAAGTAGGCCTAAAATATAAAATAAAATATAGAAAATAAAGATTTTTGTAGCCTATTGAAATGTCACCAGAAGGAGTGATCATGAAAAAAAATTAGCTAATCTTTTGATAACATTTGGCACATTCAGTGCATGGACCTCTATTAATATTTTTTAAAAGAACAATTTTCAAAGAAGCAATTAACTTTCCTTTTACATTAAACTTTTTGTATTAGGTAACTTACTGTATTTTTTAGTATTGACCTCAAAGATAAATAGGCCTACCTAAAAAAAAAAAACTTAAATCACTGTCATTTGTGTTTTTTGTTGTTTATTTGTTCCTATTGCTCATAATATGTTAATTTCTTCGTATTTATAACTAACTGTTAACTTAAATAACTGCTTAAGAAGTTTTCTCTGGTATTGAAATGGTAGGCTTTTGCAAAAAAAAAAAAAAAAATGTGAAAATGGAAATACAGAAAATTAAGAAGGTTTGCTAAAAATGTTGTGTTCTCATATTAATTTTTTTTAATGTGTTTTTGTAAAATCATAATAGTTTTTTGAACCTTTTGCCCCCATTTGTAATGGTTTCTATTTACTATTTTTCATAGTGTGATTAATGAATTGTATTAAAACCAGTTGGGATAATTTTGGAAACATCATAATAATCGATAATTATAATAGTATAGACCATTTCACAAGATGTAAACAACACTGGTCCAAAAGCACTTCCTGTTTCAGTTTTTTAACACTACATAAAAGCTGGGATAAAATACAACCAACAGAACATTTAAAACTGAATCAAAAAGTTAAACAAACATCTTTAAGATGTTTTCTTTACATGTGAAATAAAGAAAACAGTTACAAACTGAAACAGGAAGTGCTTCTGGACCAGTGTTGTTTACATCTTGTGAAATGGTCTATAAAGAACCCACAAGATGTGGGAGGGAAATTAATTTTTAATTCATAGATGAGTGATATTTGATTGATATTGATAAGTGTCCCCCGCAACAATAGTTGTGGTGTGTTGTATACGGGACTGGTTTTCTGCTTCAGAGATTTTTATTTTTGGATTGGACTCAAGGAATATTTTTATTGACACTTCACCAGTTACAACCTCACTACCAACAGGCTTGATATAACAGTGAGTTAGACAACACTTCCTGGTCTTCTCATAAATTGGGCTGTAGGGGCTGGGTATTTTTTTTTTTTTTTTTTTTTTAAACCAAATTAAGGTTGCCCTGTCAAAACAACTGGGGGTTGGATGGGTTGGTTCCCTGATGGCTGTATAAAATTATATGTAAACAGAAGGTTGGTGGGCTTGGGGTTTTAGAGAAAGCTGGAAATTGAAACCACACTCATGGTTAAGCCACCCTCGGGACTCTACCCAGGGAAAAAGTTTACAAATACTTGATCTTCAGTGATGTTACATGATTTGACCTATCCCACTTCACACATTAATATGGGATGGTTTGGTAGGCGCTTTCAAGGTCAAAAGAGTGTAATTTCCAGTGCGGTACGTTCATCTCACCTCCAGAGGTCTCTGTCACAGTACTAAAATGGCCCCCACAGTCACCAGATCTCAACCCAATAGAGCATCTTTGGGATGTGGTGGAACGGGAGCTTCGTGCCCTGGATGTGCATCCCATAAATCTGCATCAACTGCAAGATGCTATCCTATCAATATGGGCCAACATTTCTAAAGAATGCTTTCAGCACCTTGTTGAATCAATGCCACGTAGAATTAAGGCAGTTCTGGTGGCGAAAGGGGGTCAAACACAGTATTAGTATGGTGTTCCTAAAGTGTACATACAGCTACATACAATATTGCAATCCACACAACATAATGGGAGACATATCAGAGTTCAAAAGAGGACAAATTGTTGGTGCATGTTTCCCTGGCTCATCTGGGACCAGGACAGCAAGTGTGTGGTGTGTCGAGAGCGATGGTATCCAGTATAATGTATGCATACCACCACATGACAAACCTCATCCTACAGAAGGAATTGTGGACATAAGAGGAAGCTTTCTGAACGGGATGTTCAGGTACTAACCAGGAATTGTATCCAACAAAAGATAAAACCACAGCTGCCCAACTCACTGCAGAAATAAATGTGCACATTGACTCTCCTGTTTTCATCAAAACTGTTCATCGGGAGTCAATATTCATGGTCCGGCAGCTAAAGCCAAACCTTTGATCACTCAAACTCACTGTCCTATTTTAAAACTAGATTAAAGACGCATCTCTTTAGCCAAGCATTCGTATAATGCTTACCTTTTATACCACTGTTGAAACAGTTCGAATGCATAAATATTATGAAGAGAAGCTGTGCTAATTATCAGTGTTGTAGTCGAGACCACCTCACTCGAGACCGAGACCAGAGAGAGTCGAGTCCGAGTCAAGACCGAGTCCATAGAGAGTCGAGTCCGAGTCGAGTGCGAGACCAGAGACGGTCGAGTCCGAGTCGAGACCGAGACCAGTGAGGGTTGATTACCTAATTTACTTTTATTTACTTAGAGAAATCCTTTTTTTATTTTACTGAATTTACTTAGAGTTTAAAAAATATGATCAGTTTAGGGTAAAAAAGCCACATAGTAGGTGGTGTTAAAAGTAATTTTATTACAATTTGTCATGCGCAGTTGCGCACTAGAAAATCACCAATCACTGGGCGTGTCAATCAATTTAAAGAAATACTTTATTAACATACATTAATAATCATGAAAAATATTTTGAATTGAACTCGAGTGGACTCGGGAATAAGTCCGAGTCCTAAAAAAAAATGTTTTCGAGTACGAGTCAATTCCGAGTCCAAATGCACACGAGTCCATGACAAGACCAAGACCATTAAAATATGGTCTCGAGACCGAGTCCGAGACGAGTCAGAGTCTCGAGTACTACAACACTGCTAATTATTTCCCGTCTGCTTTTCTGTTGTTATCTCGGGACGCTAGTACAGCCAGATCCAGTTTGTATCCAGCATCTCACGAAGACTTCAGATGCCCCAACACCTGTGTAGAGACGACTCAATGCCGGCGATATGTTAAGCCCTAAATTAATACATGATTAACTACCGGTAAATGTATTTTTCTATGTACATTTCTGACTGTACGTGTGTTGGTTACGTTTTACAGAAATCGTGGAACATGCAGTGTTTGTGGGCACTGGGTCGTGGTGGGCACACTCACTACATTTTAACACACAATTGACATGAGTCGATTTCGTGCGAGCCCTGTAACCGAGGCGGGCTGTGTTTGTGTGCAACACTGGGCTGTGGACGGAATAAAAGAAAATACACTGCTTATAGACCTGATGTAGCCCCGCCCCTTTTCAGCTCTGCGCTCGTTGTCTTTTGACTTCCGGTCTGTATTTCCACAGCGATCTTGCATAGGTGTGAATGAACTGCTCGTAAAAAAATTCCCGTTCGACATTTTTTAAGACATCTGCTTTACAATGCTTATGATAAACATTACAATGCTCGTGATAACTTTTGTTAACTCTACAATAAGTAAATCGACTTCACCAGCTAATTACTCCTCGACAGCGATCCCATAGAAATATACAGAACCGGAAGTTCAAAGACAATACTCTAAAGATGACGGCGCCCACGTTTCTCTGGTGCATAAGGTCTATATGATTTTTCTGGGTCGCCGTGGAAACGTCATTTGTTTGGAGGCAAATTAGCCTGGCTGCGCCCTCCTACGCACTTCCGCTCAATTTCATTTTACTTCTGTACTACGTCTGGGATCGCTCCATATCCTTAGGTTTCCAGAAACCAATTTTTTGTAGGACCAATCAGCGAATAGAGGGAGTGGCTGAGAAAGATGACGTTGATGTAAGCGCGTCAGTTTGAGTTCAGTAATGGCAGCGGAGAAAGACGTGAGAAAAGCTATTCGGTCCGTTGTTGGAAAAGAAACTGCCGAATATACAGAATTTAAAGCCGGATTGTTATCGTCTCACCTCTTGTTGCACAACTGAGGACCAAGTGAAGGAGGCAGAAGGTTTGGAAGTTTGTGCTGGGCAGTTCGTGCACGATGACCGTGACATTTTGGACGGACGGTTTAGCCTGGTGTTCGCGGTGTTCGGAAGCCCGAGTCCTGGCTGCTAAACTATGGTTGAAGATCCGCTCAGGAGTCATGTCAGTCGCTCATATTCCCAACTGTATATTTACTGATTCTTGTGATGAATAGAACATTTTGAGGCCCTTTGTGCACTCGTGCAGGAGGTTGGTGTGTCAGTTTTACATGTTGTAAATCATACAAATTGGTTGTG